AAAATGTTGAAAAAATTGATTTTGATAATTGTCCTGTTAGGTCATCCCTAAAAAAAAAAAAAAAAAATTAATTATTAAATAAAAAAAAAGAAAAAATTGATTGTATTTATTAACTAACTTTATCATCCAAGCAGTTGTTGGTGTGGCGTAAATAACATATTGTGATGCTAATCTTCCAGTTAAATTATATTTTTTATCGGGCCTCGGTATAACTTTAATACTTCCATCTGGTCCTATAATTTCTACTTGTGGAACCCATGCTTCTTGATCACTACAACAAAAAAGATTATTATTATTAGGAAAAAAAAAAAAAAAAAAGGTAATAATTTATCACAACTTACATATATCCTTTTTCTAACTGTAATGCTAGGTTCTCATCACATGGAATAATTTTACCTAATTCATTCTGAAAAAACCATGTTGCACGCGTTACCGTATAAATAGGTCCGGACCAATAAACCTTAAGGACAACAAGATTAGACTTGATTTATGATTTTTTAAAGCGTTAAAGATTCTTTTATTGCATACCGGCATGATCTCTCGATCTTCAATATCAACCTCAAACAAGAAATCTTCATTTACTGGGATTTTCTCTTTGATTTTCCCAGCTTTAAATGCATTTTCTAATGCGTTAGAATCTCGTTTTGAGAATGGTATCCATTCAATTGGATACTTATCTTCATCTTGTTGTGTATTCGACAAGGGATCAAATATTGGAAAATCAACTGCATGAAACCTACGAACACGGAAAATTTCATAAATAGCATTTTAAATTAACTGGAAGGTTATGAAATCATTTATTAATTACCATCGAGCTTTTAATTCTGGATAATCTGGGGAATCACAAATTAATTCGGGTATTTTTTCTGGAGCTTTTTCGGCTTCATCGTTCATTTTTATTGTGTAATGTTTTTAATGAATAAATTTAGTAAAATAAAAAGTAAAAAAGAAAATGATGAGAAAAAATCCGAGGTTATAAATAGATAACCAAGTTTTCACGTGTCTTTTTTTTTTTTTGGTAAATTTGTGCGTTCTTAAATAATTTTAAATAATTTCTCACTGAATAAAGAATTTTCACGTGAAAACAATTGTGATATATCCAAATTTTCTTTTTACATGAGAAGACCTTGAGCGTTTATACCGCAATTTTTTTTTGTTTTATTTTTCAAAAATTCAGACCAGAACTATATTTACCGGCTTGAATTACAGTGGCTCAGAAATTTGTCAATGAATTTCCTATTAAGTTAATAACAACGATTCACAGCCCCATAATAATAATGAACCAAATTAAAACGTTTTTTTTAATGTTTTGTTAATTTAAAGAAAAGAAAAAAAAAAAAAAACTCTCATTAACAACCTTTTCACCTTAGATACTGTTACCCTAAATATCGAAATAAGGGATTTTATTTCCTAAATATAAAAGTTGGTAATTTTATATTGATATCCTGATTGTGGATCTTTTGCGTCTACTTTAGACCCGAATTTCGCATTAATGAGATAATTGTATACATATTTGTTTTACCCAAGTCATTTTGTTGTCAATGATTTTAATATCACCCATATAACCCATTTAACGATCTAAAATCTGTTTTCTTAAAATGGAACAGAAGAAAAAAAAATAAACGTTTTATTTTCAAATGCGTTTTGAATTATGTACATACATACATTCACGGAATAAATGAACTCTTAAAGTCCAAATCTTTCCTTTAACAGAAGTTACAATAAAAAACTTGTTCGTTTTCTTGCATTGACAACGTGTAAGTTTATTCTTTAAATCAAATAAGGACCTCCGGTGCGCTGTTGATTTCATAAAAAGAAATCATTACAGGAAACAATTAAAAATTTCGGGTAACGTTCATAAAGTTTCTTTATTTGGATAATAAACAAAGAGAGAGAGGTCACAAACTCTTGGTTATTTTTATTATCAAGTCCTAAACGACATGATGCCACTTGGCTATTCATGCTATTCATGGATTTTGTAGTGTTATTTTATTCGGGATACCCATTGAAATCAATGACTTTTGGATAAGGTAATGTATTCAATGTATTCTGTATTAAATATTTACATCTCCTTCTTAAAAATAGAATAAATGTATGATATTTTTGAATCACTTGAAAAAATTGAATTGTGTGACGGTGATATCTGATCTTTCAATAGTGCAACTGTGGCTAGTGACCCATATCTGGCAACGTTTATATGGACAATCGTTTTTATTTTTATGTTTTATTCCTCCGGAAGTTTCATCAATAAAATTACAAAGCATAAATGTCATTTTGGCGCGTATTTACAGCGACGAAAGAAAAAACCATATGATCGAATCCTTTCATATTGTTTGAAATTTTCCACACGTAAAGAATTCATCATGACTAACGAAAAATATTGTGATTTCACTCAACTTCTAGACGAATCCAGGCAAATCTAGCCGAGTCCTTCCGGTAGATCATTACCTAATCCATGAAAGAAACTTCAGACATTTCCTATTGCTGTCACACCATTGATCACATGATCGGTTATTCCATATCTACATTTGGATGTTAAATGATATCATCTTAATCACAACCCCAAGCCCCCAACGAAAAAATATTCTGTGATATATAAAAAAAAAAAGAGATAAATATAAAAATAGCCCTGAAAATCAGGATATATAAGAATTCACGGCGCAGAACATTCCGAGGGTTACAACACCTTCCCACCATTTATAATCATATTTACTTTCTTCTTTGTTATTTGGTCGAATGATTGGATCAGATAAAAGTAAGGTCTTTTTTTTACCTTACATACAAATTTACCGTCTTAAAAGCAACACCCAATGGTTTTTTGCAAACTTCTTTTTATTCGCAATAAAAATATTAAGTGCATCGGTTTATACTCCCCCATCGAATCATAAATATTTGTCAGACGCTGGCCCGCATTTGGTTAATTAACTAGTAAAAGTTGTGAGTAACCAATGATTGTTGTGGATTTACCCTCTCTTAACCCTAGTTTACGGAAGCACGGCAAACTTTTTCTCATATTATTTCCCCTCTCCCCAGTCCTACAATTAAGCTTAAACCTAACCTACTAATTGTTTTTTTTAGCAATGAATGAATTAATAATTTATTATGTGCGACGCATTTGATCGTTCCATGAATGTAAATATTTATTGTCATTACCAAAATAGAAAGTGCATTTGAAAATGAATCAATAGATAACGATAATGCAAAAAGATATGATCCTTGATCAATGAATGTGTGTTGTGAATCTGTAACGAGAATGTGATCAAATTTTTAATTTTTAAACAAAGGACTTCAAAATTAAAAAATTTATAAATTTATTTTGATATGTTCCTAAACCAAATAAATCCCAATTCAATAATTGATAACACGCGAAAAAGGACAAATTGATATGCATTGGATCAGTTGCACAAGTGATCGATATATATATTTGTTCGATACCTGAATTTTTATTTTATTTTTACTTTATTTATTTTTTTGACTCGGAGGAAAATCAATAGGGATTGATGTTGTTCTTTTTGAAATATTGTTTCAATACAAAACCATCAGATTATATTATATTGACATTGACATCACAAGTATAAAAAGTAGTGTCACATTACATTCGGAAAATTTGTAAAATCACGCTATCTTTGAGGTTGACACGTAATTTAATAGGTTCTTCTCAAGTTAAAGTGGGGGTTGAATATGGATAAAAGGAATAGAGTTGCTCCGTTACCGATTTCATGGTTTTTTTGGGGGGGGGGGGGGGGGGGGGCTTTGCTGTTTTTTTTTATATATATACCATTTTCATGTTAATTTATATTAAAAAAAAGTTCATCTTTAAAAAGGATTGTTTTTATAAGTAAAAAAGGCGTTTTAAGGGTGCGTAATCCGAACATCATCAAAAAAACCCTCGCGCTTGGGAAAATTAGACTCGGCAAATACCGAAATCAGACTTGTATGTAGGTAGATTTTATATCGATCGATTAACTTTAGTGTATAAGAACTTACTTAGTAAAGGGATTCTCCGAAAGCCAAAAAAAAAAAAAAAAAAAAAAAAAAAACCTATATAACATTCAATTTTGTTATTAAGTCTTAAAAGAAACCACATTCAAACACGTTCTGTCAAAAATTTTGAATTTTTTTAAATTTAATTTTTATTTATTTTATTTTCATAATATAATCATAAGAAAAAATCTGTAAAAAAAAAAAAAAAAAAAAAACTTTCTTATTATTATTTAACTATGTTTAATAAATCCTTATTTCATCCATATTAATCATAAAAGTTTCGTAAAAATTTTTTACTCTAAAAAAATTATTAATTTATAAATTTTATCCGCCGCCATTCAGAAAACGTAAAAATTTCACTGATTAATGCCAATTTTGTATGCCAATTTTTTTAAAAAAATGCTGTATTAATATATATACATTGAAAAGATATTTGCCTTTCTTTTTTTTTTTCATCAGATTAATGCTTTCGGGTAATGCAAAATGTTTTTTTTTTAAAAAAAAATTTTTTTTTTTTTTTTTTTTGTGTAAGAAAATTCGCTATATACAGTGTCAGAAAAAATGATATAAAAATCGATAATGAATTCGATTTTGTCTATATAGAAATGTGATGTCGAAATGATAATTTTCTATTAAATAAAAATGTTCCTTGACTAAAAAAAATGTTCATATTCCCAGGATATATGAGATATATATGGAGAGATATATATGTGGTATATGCAATGATGAATCTCTTCCATTATGATCTAACCAACCGCGCTTTTCGACTCCGGTAATTATAACATTCGATTTTAAAGCGAAAAGGCGATCAAGTTAAGTGTTAATTATTAATAATAATATTAGAATTACGCATATTTTTCTGTTCTAATTATTAAAAGGCGAAAAAAATAAATAATAACGTCCCCGATATAAATTAATACCTCCGACAAAGGTACAAGTGATCATATTATTATTAATTAGTTATATACCAAAAATAACAAAGATTATATTAACCCCATTATGTATTTATTTGGCAACTAAAAGAATAAACGACCTTTAACAAACTCTTCATGATGGTTATTGGAAATGAGCTTCACATCTTGATAAGGGGTGTACGAATAAGTCTTTCTGACTTCAACAGCTATGTCGGAGAAGACGCCATCATTGAAAGTGTCGAATCCCATTGGCATGAGTGGTGACCGAACCCTCAAATTCATTAAGAAATTTTCTCGTAACCATGAATGATTCCTTATGAATCTTCTCACAAAAGAATAAACCTTATTTAAAAAGATATCTGTTGGATCAATCTCTATAATACTGCTTCGATTACTTCCGGTCTCACTGTAATTTGTATAATTATCCATATCAATATGAGGTTTCTCTTCAAATTCATAAGAATGAAAGTCTCCATGCGCACTAGTAGGTGACGATGCGAACTCAACACGATGAAGAATAACTTCGAACCTCTGTCTTAATGAATATGATTGCTGATTGACATCTTCGATGATAGGTCGTAATTCAAACCTTTCATCTTGTTCCGATTCTTCCGTCCAATCTTGACTTGAGAGTTTTTCTCTTAACCAAGCTTGTAAATTACCAATATCGGTGAATCCTGTAGGTGGAATGATTGGACCATTTCCTACAGTTATGGCTTGTAGAATCGGTACGATTTGTCTTCCTAATAAAGGTCTCATACCATTCAAGTTATAATTTAATGTAATGGTTCCTCTCATATACGGGGAATAATTTTCCGAATGAAAGACGGTATTTTCGGTTTGAATGTAGGGAGAGGTTGCCGTTGAAGTTGGATGATGATAATGTTGTTGTAATAAATAAGGCGCGGGGATTTGAACTTGTTGCGGAGATAAATGTGATTGGGGTGGCGATAGTTGAGCGACTTGTTGTGACATTTGCAATGGCGACCCTTGTGGTAAAGGGTATTGTGCTGCCGACGTCGGAGGCATCATAGGATTGGTAAGATTCATGTTGAAAAGAGTATCGTCATCTTCGAGGTAATAGGATGATGAGTTGTTTACAAATTCTTCCTGTAAATGATGATAAAACAAACGTAAAAAGGTGAGCGAGTGAAAATCGAAAAACATTTTTAAATTTTTGTTATAAAAAAGAAAAAGATAATTTACCTTGGCAGCGATGGCAGGTTGGACGTTTTTAATATTAGAATACATTCTTTGAACATGTTCCCATCGTTGTCTTGTGGTATTATCTAATTCTTCAATCTTTTGCTTTATAGCTTTGATCCCTTCATCTTCATCACGTTGTTGTTGAAGTTCCTCAGTAAAGACAGGAGGAGAATAGCTTGTGTAATGACATCTATGTTTCGACTTTTGGCAAGCCGAACAGGAAGGTGTCTTTCTATCACACTTGACTTTTCTCTTCTTACAGCTGACGCACGAACGATTTGGATGTCCTAATGCCGTAGTCATTGGAGATGGGGGAGGTGTGGAAAAGATGGCTTGTTGCAATAATTGTTGTTTAAATAAGAGTTCTAATTCTTTGCGTTGTTCTTGTTCTTGTTGATATTGTTGATATTGTTCAGGTTGATAGAACATCGTATTATTATTTCACTTTTTTTTTTTTTAAAAAAAAAAATAAATTTTTTTTTTTTTTTTCAGAAATGAAATGCGTTGGGAGATTGGGTTATATATAAATTATTTTTTTTTTTAATTTACTGCTTTTATATTAATCTTGATAATGTTAATTGATTGAATTTGATATTTATGATCCAGTTTAATATTTGTCTTGAAAGGAAATAATATATTTATGACTTATTTTTTTTTATTTAAAAAAAAATTTTTTATTCTGACGGTAGGGAGAGTTCTAATTTATTTATACTTGTTTTTGTAATAAATTACGTATAAAAAATTTTTTTATATTAATAATGTAAAGTAATGTAAAAAAGTTATTTATAATTAATTAATTTAAACAATATAAATTGCAAATCAATTAAATCATTTAATTTATTTATATTGATACTTCAAATTCATATCATCACATATCACATAGTATCAAGCTTTTTTTTTATTATTTGTTCCTAATAGGTAATCTAAAATAAAATAATGAGGGAGGAAACATTCAAAGAATCATTACTACTATAATAAATTTAATTTCAAAAATACCCGGCATTTGAATAATGGAAAATTTAAAAATTTTTTTTTTTTCCTTTTTTTTTTACAACAATAAAAATTTCAGAGCTTTTGAGATACAAAAATGGTCAGAACAAATACATATTTTTTTTTTTTATGTCAAAAAAAAAAAAAATTAACATGATAAACTCCGGTCAGATTTTCCGCCTTTATTTTATTTTTTTTTTTTTTTGTTTCCCTTTCAAGATATCTAGATCTCATGGGAACGGTTAGTTTATTACTGTGGCGGGACGACGAATTTCTAACCGATTTATTTTACTTGATAAATTTAAGCTCGTCAGCGTGGCAAAACAATTTAGTTTTATGAATGTGGTCATTGTTGTCTCTGGTTTTTCTTCTTTTGGAAATATTATACCGTTAATGAACCTTCTATTTGAAATTCACAAAAGCATTAAATTATCTGAAACCGCGTTGCGCAAACCTTAATTTAAACAAAAAAAGAAACTCGATTCAACGATTCAAAAGAAATTTTTGATTGTGAGTATAACAACGATTTCCTATAACGTGAATAAAAAGCATTTGGCGTTATCCCGGTCAACTTGACCACTACTGCGTCCGAAGCTTTTATTGCCACACATGATGCAAAAGCTCTTTCGTTCGCAAACACATGGTCAGATCTTCGATTTCCATGCGGAATACGTATTTGTTTTATGATCATGCTCGCTCATATTTATTTTTTTTTTTAGGAAAAACGTGATCGTTATATGAAAACGTTTTACGTGGATCCGACTCGACTCATTTTGTGTCAATAATTTTCAAACGTGATTAATGAAAGGGGGATACAGGAAGTTGTAATTAAGAAACCTTCAAAAGAAAACAAATTAGAATGTGGTTTTTTGTCATACAAGCAAGATAAAGAACAAATGTACCATTCAGAAAGATGAAGAAGCAAGCACTAAGCCCAAACTCTACCTAAAAGAAATAATATTCTTTTTTTTTTTGTTACGCCATAAAAATCTGTTTATTGTTTTATTTCTCAGCATCGTTTGACAACCCAACCGTCCACACGCACATTATAGGTGACAATATGAAGACGTGCACAAAAAAAAAAAAATAAAAAGTAAAAATAATAGCACTTTTGGCGCCTTTTTTTTTTCACAACCCCCAAGCGCCCAAACATGTTCGACATTTAAACTATATGAAATGATTTACACAAATCAATTAAATCAAGTCCATTTTAAGTTAAAAATTATTAAGTTTGAACAAAAACATTCAATTTTCCCAATTATCTGGTTAATCAATGTTGAGTAATATTAATTACACAATTGTCCATCATTTTGAAGTTGATTACAAATTGAGTTTACTACATCATATATATATATCGTCGATCTTTTAAGAAAGGTGGTCCGAGAAAATTTCTCAGACCTAATTAATAATATTACTCATGATGATATATTTTATCAATACAATATTTTTATTGTCAAACGGAAAATAAACGTTTGGTAAAATTCCCAAAAACGGGGATGCGTAATGACTTATGCATCACCGCTCCGGTACTCCGCAGCATGGTCTCCGCTCAATAGGACCGCTCGAAGGTGCCAAAATAATCCGATTCGCAAATGATGATGTTTTTCAACTTTACCGCAGTGGGGAAATATTTTCGAATGCCTCAAAGTCCCTTTAACTAGAATGCTAACCCAATATATCCGGATTTATCCTAAATTTTGCAAACAATGTGAAAACTTTGAAAATTCGGAAACTGGTTGCTTACAAATCATTTGGTTAATTGATTACATTATGACCTTTTGACATAAGTATGCGTTAAAAATATTCCGAAATGGTATCCAAACGTTACAAACAACAAGCCTCTTCCTTTGATCTTCTGCAATGTTCCCATGTTGACGCTAGGCTCTATTTGGCGAAAATCAATTTGTTTGGACATTTACTTGGTACACTGCCTCATAATTTACCAAATTTGTCGATGCTGTTTATCCAACTTTGAAACAGTTATTTTTTTCAAGAATTTCCCAATTTGGTATCTTTAACTTGTTTTATTTAAATGGTTCTTTCCTAATTGAAAAAGAGTAATTTTCATTTCCTTGATTATATGTTTTTGAAAGGAATATGCTTTTGATTGTTTTAAAAGAATTGTTTGCAAAATCACGGCGTTTCAGATAAATGGGCCTAGGGACTCTTGTCTAATAATAAGTGTTTTAGTGCACCGAAGGAAGGGCTAGGTTTAATATTTAACCGAGTCAGACAATTATATATTTGGTAAATGTGAAATCAATTTATTATCTTATCTGATAAACCGGTCACATAGTACAGAAATTATAATATGTTTCCGCCTAAATTCCATATAAAGTATGAAGAACCTTTCAGAACTTTCTTGATTTCAAACCCGATTTTTTGGTTGTAAAATTTTTTTTTTGTGTCATGGAAATAAAGAGATTTATTTAAATGTATTGTCCAATAATTTCAAAGCATTGTCAAGCCTCATGATACCATACCTTCCTTTCTTGGTAATAAATTTTAAAAAAAGTTTTTTTTAAAAAAAAAAAAAAAAAAAAACCTGAAATTAAACGAGATTTTTTTTAAAAGAAAATTATGACAAATTATTTTTAAAGCATCTGTCATACATTAAAATTGTTTTTTTAAAAAAAAAATGACATTAGAATGAATGAAAAACAGGAATTTTTTTTTTTTTTTTTTTTTTCTTTCTATTTTCTTTGTTCTTCCCAGGATAATATTAACATGTTTATCTGTCAAAAACAAAAAAAAAAAAAAAATAATAAATTCAAAAAATGTCGTGATAATGATAATCTCAAAAGGCTAATTTTTTTTTTTTTCCTGGAATTTTTCTCTGAACGAATTACAAAAAGAAAAGTTTCACCAGGTACACTGCCAGAGAAAAAATTGACAAATATGGGTTTTGGGTTTGTTGTTTCAAAAAGAATCCAAAACCGTAAATATTATTTTCTTCATCAACCCCCCCTTTTTTTTTCTTTGTTCTCATGTCATGTTGAACATATTATTATTTTTTTTTTTTTTTTTTATGCGGCATTAAAGCTGTTAGTTCCTCTTTTTATCCTCATCAAAAAAGAAATTTTTTTGCCATTATGGTATCACCTCTTGCCAAAAGAACAAAACTTAAATCATAATTTTGCATCGGGAAAATATTACCGTAGGTAAAATTGTTGAGCCGGTTGAAATATTTGGTAGACCTCTATCTAATAAGGAAATTTTTAAGCTGAATTATTAATGTTATTATCGTAAGCCGATTTGACAAAAAGGAAATTAATAACAATTAAATGGTAACGAATCAGAATAGGTAAATACCTTTCCCAACATAAAAAATCCAGGACCAAAAAAAAAAAACTGTAACTCGCAACAGATTTTCCGAAGATACGCCAACAAATTAAAAATGTCATTAAAATTTAAAATTAATTAAAAATGTGCGACAAAGAATTTTTATTAAAAAAAAAATAGCAATGTGGAAATTTTTAATGAAGCCGCCTATCAATTGACGATACAAACGTTTAGGACGAACCGATTTGATGTGTTTTGATATGCGAGTGAAAAGATCTACCATATTTTTTTTTTTGAAATTTTTTTTTTATTTTCTTTTGGCAGATTCCATTGGTCATTCAATACATTGTATGAACTGCCAAAGAAAAACTTATGAATTGGAATGTGTTCATGTCTCGAATGAATGAAAGGAACACTATCTATTACCTGATGCGCATGATGGGCCAATACATCAAAACAAACATTTGAACAAAGAAAAATTTTTTTATGACATTCGGATAAATCAAAAGCACGGACGTTAATATAATCTTTTGAATAGCACGCATTTCGATAATCTAAGATAAATGGAAGCGATAAGATAACAAGGATTCCTGATAGAATTCTTTCTCAATGCTTCCTAGGATTTAATGCATCGATTTTCATTATAATTGCCCAAAAGCATTCAAAAAAAAAATAATGTGATATGATGGAGTGTGTAATTTCATTGTAATTTTTTAATCGAAAACAAAATATTTAGCAAAAATTCATCTAGCTAATTTTATGCAATAAGACAATCACCACCTAAACAGAACTCATCTAATTTTGACTCGGAGGTTTCCCAGAGATACGTTTTTTTTTTTTTGATGAGACTTCATATTACGGAGATTGAATCAGAAATTAGATAGGTACGTAATTTTTTTGTTTTATCCTATAATTTCCGTAGTGCGACCTTCCCCAATGAGTGAATGACCAATCAAGATATGTAATTGAATCAGTTGCACAAAAGATAAGATAAAAACCATCAATTCTCACACATTCATGATTGAAGTTAATATACCCCCGCATTGATTATTTGGTTGATGAATCGTTATCGTTATCAATGTAAAAAAAAAAAAAAAACCATCATATCATAAAATTATTCATTTTTTCCAAATATTTTCATTGCTGCGGATATATCTGCATCATTTCAAATGGTTTTAGATAAAAAGGTTTGAGATTTGTAATGCGTTTTGGAAATTTGATAACCCATTTCATGCAATGCATAATTTTTGTCCAATGATATCATTCGATAATAAGTTCAATGATTGGATTAATCCATTGAGTTATATTAAGCAAGTTTCCCAAATGGGAATGTATGATTTTTTGTTTATTTGAAAACGAGTGATGAATCAAATAAAAAGTAAATAAATAAATAAATAAATAATAAATAATTTGAGACAAAGAAAATTTATATTGTACGAACTTGAATAAATAAAAAATTTTTTTTCTATTACCTTTCAATGAAAAACGTGGAATTCTTATATTTTTAATTCTTCTGCACCTTGCCTATTTGGTTTTCATTAAGGAAAATAATTTTCTTATAAAGTTTGAATTTTATCTTGGTTACACATGTCATACCGTCCACGGACACGGACATCCCGAATGTGTAATCATTATTATTAGGTACATTATCTGCTGTTCTTTAATTCTCTTCTATCTTTAAATTATGTCTTTTTTTCTTTGTTTCCAGATTTGAGGCTAAACTTAAAATGGAACGGAGTAAATAAATAAAGGCCTCGCGTGGCAAAAGAAGCACATGTATAAAAAATAACTTTATTAATTGATATCCTTTTAAAGGATTAATCTACCGAGAAGCTATTGGGATGTATGTAAGAGTCATTTACCAATATGACATAACCAACCATAAATTTTAATAATCGTTAACATAATATAATATCCTCACATTGTTCTTCAAAATTTCAAATGATATATTTTACCCACTTCTCTGACAGACTTATTACATCGGAGTAAGCATTACCGGTTAAGAACAATATGTTATCTTCGCACATCCGTTCGTTTTTGGTTTTATTTTACCCGCCTTTTTTTTGGATTATGAAAAACCCCATGGCGCCAAAAAAGCCACATTACCAAATTCCCATTTTATTCAAATTCCCGTTATCATCACTCAGGACAACCTTTAAATTGTTAAAATCGGTTTATTTATTTATACCATAATATTCCCTTGTTTTACGTTTATTTACTAAAAAAAAAAAAAAAAAAAAAAAAAAAAAAATTTTGCTTACTAAAAACAAATATATTTATTATTCATCACACGAATTTGGCGCAGTAATCTTCGGTAGCTCTTTTAAAAAAAGAATTCAGATCATGAGGTTAGTAAAGTTAGTAAATCATACGATCCGTAACGTGACCTTGATTAAAAGGCGCCTTATCAATCAGTTTTACGTTTATTGACAAAATGTCTCTTTTTGATGATGAAAATTAATTACAGATCACCTGATCGACGAATTTAGAAAATCTGGTTATTATAAATTATCTAAATTACCAATATGGAATCTTATGGAAGGATGTGGCGCAGCACAAACATGCGATGTTTTTTGGTTTTGGCGCAAAAACAAATCTTTTTTTGAGATTGTAATGAGATCATGTGTTCATGAATTTTTTTTTTATCTTTTTCTTTTTTTTTTTTTTTTTTTTTTTTTTGAGATGGGGAAATTAAGTATCATGTGTCCTGTTGGATTAATTTAATGTAAATCTTCGAAACTTCATACGTCCCCCCCCCCCCCCCATCATATGTCCCCATCAACTCCTTACGTTGAACATGCGCCTTATCAAGTGATCGGTCACATTATACATTTTTATTGTTATGATTAGGAAGTACTCCTGAATGAAAGAGATCGCATTCATTTTTATATATTTATATGGAACAATGACTGTGGTGTTTCGGAAATACAATTTCCAGATTTACTGCGGAAATTTTAATTCTCGCATTGTTGTAAATCATTACATTTCTTTTGATATCACATATCACCTTTTTTTTTTTTTTTACCACTTTGCTTTTGTTTCGTGAATACGTTTTTTTTTTGATATTCATCGTCAAATTTTACGTTCAACGTCAAATAAAATAAAATGGTAACGTAATTGATCACCAGATTTACAAGATAAATTCGCAAAAAAAAAATTAAATTAAAACAAAACCCGGGGAAATAGATTTTCCAAACGAATGAGAGTAAATATATGCTATATAATAAGGGCTTAAGTGCTAAAAGATAATCAATTTATACAGCTCGAGAATGTAACAGAATATGCACGATAATCGAATATGCTGAATGTTATTGTAACAATGACAAATGTTTGTGCCATGCCTTATATTACATGCAAATCTACATATCTGCTCATGCAACATCTAATATATTATATATATGGATATGTATATTTTACTTAATTTATATGCGGTGATGTCATTTCGCTGATTTATTAATACCCGGCGTTGCGATTTTTTTCGCTGTTCACCGTTATCTTTCACACCTTTCTCTTTAAAATTAGGCAATTACCAAATAAATCTAAAAATGTTTACATATGGGTACGTTGATATATAAAAAAAAAAAAATATGAATTTATATTAAAGTTTGCACAAATAATAAAATGTTACCATCTAGTATATCTCATAAGGGATAAACCATCAAAATGCAATCATCATTGGATCGTGAATCAAATAGATCATAATTGGAAAGGTGTGGGAAAAAACGTGTCTTCATTTAAAGTGTTGACTGTATACTATTAGTCTTTGATTATGTTGTGATATATCCCTATTAAATTATTTATTGTGATTTATTTGTATATTGAATTCCTTATAAAGATAAAATTAAGGCGACCTTGAAAACGCTAGGCTTAATAAATCGGTTAGTTTATTATGTATAATTATTACAAAATCCTCGTTTCATACGAATCAATAAACTTCTTGGCGTAAAGTAAATAAAACCCGTCGTCCAGTTAAATATCTGGGAACGCGTTTTCTAAAAAAAAAAAAAAGCTTTTAGGAAAACTAGTACATTAAAGGTGAATAATGTTTTAGCAACCCCTTTTACAAGATTAATATTATTTTTGGAAATATCGACAGAAATAAAAAAATCAAGTTTCTTATTTAACTCATTTGTTTTTCTTAAAAAGTATGTTCTCAATGAAGGCACCAATCTGTAAATATTTTTTTAATTTCGTTTTACGTTATTTTGATTTGATTTTCATTCATCGCCGGATAAACCTTTGAAACTTTATTCCTATGCCAATTAATCAAAATGTCCAATAAACTTGCATTTACAAAAGTATTCTAGAAATTAACAAAGAAAAAATTTCTGTGCGTTTAATCGTGTGTCTCGATCTACAACTACGGTAATTAATAATTTGTAAATCTCACGTGAAACCAAAAAGCAGAATTCATCCTAGAAAGGTTTCCCCCATCATTAGTAGCATACATTCATGTCATTGGTCTGGTTTACAAATCATTACGTAAAACAAATATTTATACTTTAACTTCAATGCGTTGTTTCGCGTCTTTCTCGAAAGACATTTTTTTGTGCGCTTATTACATTGTATATCACACAATTATTAATCATACATTTTTTCAGGATGAATTGTTTTTTTTATTAATAATCGTGATTATTATTTTTATTATTTTACACATGAAAATCGCTTCTCCAAGTTCAGAAAGAATTAGCTATTCAACACCTTATTAGGCTTGTATGCAGATCAAAAGGAAGTTTTCTTGGCCTAAAATGAGTTTAAGGCTGAAGGGAGTCAAATTAAACAATTGCCTTATTTTTAAAAAAAAAAAACGAGAAAAACAATTGAATAGAATTTGTCAACATTCGCACAACAATAGTAAGGTTTTATTGGACTGATTTCGTATAATGTATATGTGAAAGTTGCACAAAAAAAAAAAAAAAAAAAAATGCATATTTTTTTTTGACGAAGGTTTTAACGAGATACGCAAAACAAAACACAATCAAACCAAGCATGGAATATTCTTCTTGCATTCTAATGTTGCAAATGCGCATCAATTCGAACTTTTACTTTGTTTATTAAATCAAACGTTATTGCCAACACGGTATCTTCCGGACTTTTTCGAATTAATTCGATTGCCCTTCTTATCATCACATCGATTGTTCTGGGATTCTTTTTCTTTTTGATTTGATAAGCAAAGTTTAAAAAATATGAGCCGAAAACAATCAGTTTAACCTTTACTTGTCAATAAGCTTAATTCACAAAATTCAGCCGTTTGTGAGTTTCACAGTTTACCACAAAATTTCAAACTCGGACCATGATTGTTCCTTTATCATAAGAATTGGCGAACGATCAAATGTCAAAATTTAAGGTATTATTCAAGCGCTTTGTCCTTCTCCAAAATAAAAGCTCTTGTTATTTATTGTAGGAAATCCTTAATCGATTCTCTAGGCAAGAAGGCACGAAATGAATAAGTTACGGTAAAAAAAAGTAACACGCTAAATAACGATCATCCGATCGCTCCGATCTGAGCCACTGGAGCCACAACCAGCCGATCCGTCTTAAAAATTTTTTCAACAGTAGGTGATCTCATGACTATACGCATGGGTTACAAATATAATAAAATTCTACCTACGTGATTCGTTTTCACAATCAGACAAACAAAACGTAAACAACGCGGAATTAATTGAAAAATTTTCATATTTAATAAAATAAAAGATTATCGAATATTACAGGTATTTAATAGGGGGAAGAGAATATTTTAGAAAGAAAAATGTAATTACGCTGAGCCACAGTCTCATGATTCAATTCAAATTCGCAGTCATCACTTGCAAATTGGCATACAAGAATGCATGCTTATACGATTTTCCTATTAAGGAAATCCGATCACTCGTAGAATTCTAAGAATCTTTAAAAGAATAAATTTAGAATTAATATGTAAAGATTTGGAAAAAAATATGCATTGAGCCACAATGTAACAATGTAATAAGGCCTTTAATAACCGCAGTCTGCATCCAAAAAAAGCTCATTAATGCACGTCACATCTTCGCCGAGAACTGCGGTCATTACTAAAAATGATGATTTGCGCCGGCGCATCATCATTTTTGCACCGAAGCTTAACATTGAGTTTAATGTAGTGGATTTATTTATGATTTACGCCCTTAAGTTTTGTTGTGGGAATTAAAATTAAATGCATAAGTGTACCCAATTGTTTTCCGGTTAATCATAAAGAACAGCCTAAGCAAAAGGGATTGCTTTACGTTTTTATTTTGTTTTGTGAATTCAGGACCGAGTGAATAATTAAATGAATGTCCTCTTGTAGCCGATTTTAACCTTTTTGTGAAATCTATATAAAATCTAGTGTAATATTAAAATAAATCTAATCTAAAGAAATTTTAATGATATCTAAAAATTGATACCAAGAGTCTTTTTGTAAAATCCGCTATAATGATGTGATGTTACTTTTTATGACATCTTTCAAAAGTACGTAATTGGCAATCCCAAAGCAGTCTATCGTCCTTTATCAGGTATTTTACACGCGTTAACCTTCCATACCATAAAAGGAGATAAGATTTAATAAAATGGTGCAAGTTAATCTTGTTTCAAATTTCTAAAAAGTACATGAAAAAATGTCTCGTATCTTTTCTCTCAATGAATTAGGTCATGCAGGTTCATCAAGGTTATCTCGACCCACTCGACCTACTCGAGAGTTACCAGACATTGACCTTGATATCGATGATTTGACAGATAGTGATACGGAGGATGAAAAGGATCAAGAAACTCAACTTAAAGATGCTGAAACATCAAATGATTATGAAATTTTGAAAAGGTCTTTGATCAATGAAGAATTTTCGCCGGAAATTTTAATGTATCAAGATAAAGCCATTGATAATTTGGATAAGTTGATCCAAGAACAAGTATGTATTAAATAATAATTATTTCTTTTCTTTATTTTCATTTTCCATTATCTCGAATCTTTTTTTTTTAAAAAAAAAAAAAATTTTTATAAGGATGCGGTTTCAAAAGATATGTTGGTAACGCACGAACGGAAAAAATTTGGTATGCTCCTGTTTAGTGGTACTGACCGAATTAAATATATTATGGAAAAATATTTGCTTTGTAGAAGAAATAAGGTATTTATATTGCGCGATTTTTATTTTCACATAATCAAATCATTCAAAAAATTTAAAAATCTTTTTTTAAATTTCTCAGATAGAAACTCAAGTCTTGAGCATCCTCTCGTCTCCTATTTACAAGGAAAGATTATCCACGGCTGAACTAACCCATGCAGAGGAGTAAGTTCATATATCTAATGCGCGTCTTTTTTAGGAATAGAAAATGAAAATAACAAAAAAAAAAAATTTTTTTTTATTTAGTTATAAAATGTTACTCGAAGATTATCTAAAAGCGGAACTCAAACTTCCAAATGATTGTTTAGAAGATAGTCAGTAGCAATTCATAAATATTTTGCGCTTAAAGATTTGATTGACATCTTCAATTTTATATATTTTCTGTCTTGCAGGTATAATAAAGACTTTTGAAAAGAAACCAGATCTTTCGAAAACTGTATTTTGTCGAGTCTTAAAAAATATAGTTCCTCGAGATGCACAAGACACGTAAAAAAGAATTTTACTTATTTATTCTGATATTTTTTTTTTTTTTTAAAAAAAAAAAAAAAATCCCGTTATTTATTTTTTCGACTTTTGTTTCCTATTTTAGTGCTATACAACATGAACCGGGAGATGTTATCATGGATAAATATGCGTACATGAGAGATGCCCTGAAAGATAATTCTGTGGAATTAATATGATGTTTTGAAAAGGTGAGAATTCTTTATACGAATTTCACATTTATTTTTGAAAAAAATTCAAGTTTTTTAACGAGTATCTTTAATATATAAAAATTTGTTAAAACGAATACATTATTCCTTTTCAACAGTAACTTTTAAAAAACTATCATCATATTTTTTATCAACAGATTTAGTATTAAACCCTTCTGGAATAGAAATGGAACGTTCAAAAGAACTTGATTTGGTTTCTCTAATAGTTCCATTGTCGGTTGTATTTTCAGAGGTTTCATTGTATTCTCCGCTTACAATTAAACTATCATCTTTTACTTCAACCTAATTCAAAACAAATCAAGCCTATAATATCATATCTTGGAAAGAAAGTGTAATTTGAATTTAAGATGTGCAACTTTCCATACCTCAAGATCATCTTTATCGATACCATCCAATTTGATCTTTGCGACCCAAGCTTTATCATCTTGATGACTATAAATGTAAAATGCATGTTAATAAGCATTATAGTGATCTTTGGAATTTAAAATTTGTGTGCACTCACACATCAATGGATGGAAATCCACTATCACCGCTTAATAAGTCGTGCGAAATGTCACTTGTGTTTAACAATGATCCCGGATTAAATTCACCCAAGATGCCATTAAGCTGCATTATTAAAGTTTGTTACATATAAGTTTCAATGAATTTTTTAAATTGATGATTTTCTCATTTCGTCACATACCAATTCTTTGTTATCTTCGTCCATTTTAGATAAAGACATGTTTTGTAAAGATGTTTAAATTTAAAAAAATTTCTTTTGGGAGGGAAAGAATTTATTTATATAATGAACATTTATGATGAACAGTGTGTCATAATGTTTTCATAATTTTAAATTTTAAATTAGGCGTAAGAATAACTAATTTTAATTAAATTAATTCCATACCCGTATGAATAACATGATTTTATCCGAATACCCGGAATACCTATGACGAACTTTTATGTCATTCATTTTTTTTTTTAAAATTTATGCCTTTATAATCAAAACCAATTATTAATTTATCGACCGCCACCAAACCACCCTCCGCTTCCGGATTGAGCTGATTGTGCTTGAGCTGCCACACCTTGATTATATTCTGCAAATCTCTGTCCTACCCTTTCATTATGTTTTAAAAATTTATCGGTACATCGTTGAATACACGTCTCCTAAAGACGTAAACGAAAAAAACATCCCCAAGAGAATTTATAAAATTAGATTGGAAAAAAGAAAATATATTTTCGAAAGGTTTATTTCTGATGTAAAAGATATAATCTTACCTCTTTTGTTGTTAATGTTTTTGAAGTGAAATCATTAATACAATCATTAAAACATCTATCAACCAAACTTGAATAAAATTTCATAAAATCTCTCATCTTTGAAAATTTATATTGGATAATGAAAATATTTTTAAAAAATAAAATTCAAACATTATTAGTTTAATAATTAAAAGATCGTTGTAAAGTTTTCTCGATAAGAATTCGATGATTTAAAATAAAAACATTCAAAGGGTAAACTTAAGAAAAAATAATCTTTAATACGATACAAACTTGTTTCTGTTCGAGTAACTTCACAATATGTTCTCTTTCGGCAGCATTATAATGTGAAAAGTCCATATTAACTGTCCAGTGTGATATTTTTAAAAAAATTTTTTTTTTTGATTTTTTTGAGAGTGACCATTAAATGTCATCGGGCACGAATTTGATTGGCGTTATGATTTGAAAAGATTATCAAAAAAAAAAGCTATCGCGTAGCCGAAAAACGTTTTTGAACATTTAATTTTCTTTTTGAACAAATTCATTAAACTTTTTTTTTTCAGTATTTCATCTATTGATATTCTTTTAATTGATGCACTAGCTTCCTGTAAAATTCCTTATTCATCCAATTCTCTATTTTCCAAATTTTCTTTTTTTTTTTTTAAAAAAAAAAAAAAAAAAAAAAATGTCAAAAGCAATTTCAAAAGTAATGGGAACAGTATCAAAGATAAAGATATTGGTACCAGCTGGTAAAGCAACACCAACTCCACCAATAGGACCAGCATTAGGACAGAGAGGAGTGAAAGCTATAGATTTTTGCAAACAATTCAATGAACTAACAAAAAATTACGAATTAGATACACCAATTCCAACAATAATTCAAATACAACCTGATCGTAAGTTTACGTTTATGTGTAATATGCCACCAACAGCTTGGTTATTAAAGAGGGCTGCAAGAATTGAAAAAGGTGCAGCTAAACCAAAGCATGAAATTGCTGGTAGAGTTAGTTTAAAACATATTTATGAAATTGCCAAAATTAAACAAAAACAAAATAATATGAAAAATCACGATTTAAAATTTATTTGTAAATCTATTGTTGCTTCTGCTGGTGGTATTGGAATTGAGGTTGTTCCATAATTAACTTTATGGAAATTCGGTTGGGAAAGCTCAACTAGAAAAGTTCTAATAAATAAAAAAGAGGTAAAGGATCGGAAAAGAGTAGAGATCTAAGTAGTAAAATTAGAAATTTAACTAGGTCAATTTTTAACCATAAAAATATTTACACCTTTTTTTTTATTAATTTAATTATAATGATATAAATAAAATAAAAAATAAATAAATAAAAGCAAAAAAAAAGGAAAAAAAAAAATACATGAATTATTCTATTAATAATTAATACAAATAAACAAAAGCAACAAGCATCTTTTCTCGAATCTACTCTAATACTTTAGTATAATTACTAGGGAATAAACCTCTATTCTTTCTTGAATCATCTACTATTTCACCTTCCCACCAACCATCACTATGAGTGCTTATTACTGCTATAACATCACCAGTTGTAAATGACATTTCTTCGGGTATAGTTTTTTGATAATCATATAATGCTTTAACTACAAAAAATATTTTATATGGTTATTAAAGAAAATGGAAAAGATAAGATCAAAATTGCAATATAAAAGATATACATACCGTAAAATTCGATCGGTTTACCATCTTCGGTACGTGGATGATTTTGAGAGCCACTGGAATCGGGTATATCGGATCCTGGTAAGGGTTGTCTTTGATACTGTAAATGAAGTGTTTGGAGGTTCATCTGTTGTGGTAGTTGTTGTTGTTGCTGTTGTGGTTGTTGTTGAGATGCAGTTAAGCTAGTATAAGGTTGCAATTGAAGCGGTGGTTGTTGTTGCATAAGTTGCTGTTGAGGCACTTGCATTTGTTGAAATCCTTGAGCACTCCCGCCAATATTAGCAGATCCAATAGGAGGTCTTGGATATCCACTAACAGGGGGACTATAGAAATTTGGATTTTGATAATGAGTTTGAGGATGTCCCAGTACTTGGGTTCCTATAGTTTGTTGTAATAATTGCGTTGGTTGTATCTGTGGTTGTGATTGAGACTGTTGAATACCAACGGGTAAAGTTCTTCTATGTGGTGGTCTACCTATACTACCTTGTGGTCTACCTATACTGCCTTGTGGTCTACCTATACTACCCTGAGGAAGTTGCGAATTAACATTAACTCCTTGTTGCGGTTGTTTATAAGGGAAAGCATTATTTAAAGTAGAGCCTGAATTCACCGTATTACTTCTGTGTACTTGAGGATGTGATTGTTGTTGTAGCTGCTGATGTGGACCATTATAAGAAGACTGAGATGTAATTACAGATGGATTGGTAGGCATTTGTTGTAATGGTCTATTAAAACTATTATATTGAAAAATAGGTTGTCCTTGTGGACTCATCTGACCTCCTTGAGGTATTCCCTGCGGTCTTGTTTGGAATTTAGCGGACTCGGGAGGCAGTCTACCACCATTAGCAATAAAAGCTTCGGCCAAGTCATCTTGCTTAACGCGACCATTTACGTCTAATTGTATGCCCAAAGAATTATTACTAGTATTAGAAGAAGTAGTTCGTTGAGTATCTGATCTGTTTAGATCGTTTAGATTATTGTTGTTGATGTTGTTAGAAGGAGTATGACTTGGGGATGCCGTAATTTGTCTAGGAGAAATCCTTCCTTGAGTAAGAACTAGATTCTGAGGGTTCATTTGTCCTTGTACTTGTTGATATCCACCCTGTGGAGATTGATATTGAACTTGAGACGAAATTGGTGGTGGTGAAGAAAACATATTAGGAGAATTTGACAATCTTCTAGCATCACCAGGACCTTCTGGTTGTTGCTGATAGTTTCGATTAGATGATTTGGACTTCATACTCAAATTTTGTGAAATCTGTTGTTGTTGAGATGATAATGGTCCATTGTTTGCGGCGTTAGTGTAATCTGGTTGCGATCTTCTTAAATCTCCCGGTCCATTGATCATATATTGTTGCTGTTGTTGTTGATGTTGAGAAATAGTTGATGGAGCAATTGAAGATGGTGTATTATTATTATTGTTATTATTATTATTATTATTATTATTATTATTATTATTATTATTATTATTGTGATTATTATTAGTAACACCGATAACAGTAGGAGCGATAGGAATATTATTATTACTGCTTATTTGGTAGGGCGTAAATTGTGATTGAGAGTTATTACGTTGATGATAGATATCATGCGATTTTTTTTGTTGTTGAATATTATCTTGGACAGGAGGAGTTGGTGGTTGAGGTTTATCGATAGGAAAGTTATTGGGTAAAGGTTTTTTAACAAATCCTTCCCCATTATCATTATTCGAAATATTAGTAGAAGTATTAAATCGTGATACATGATTATCATTACTATTGTTATTGCTGTTATGATCGTTATGATCATAATTATCTTTATTATCGTTATTAACGTCACTATCGTTTTTATTATTATTGTTATATTCATCAGTTAATTCCAAATTTGCCAATGCTTTTGCTATTTCATCTTGATCTTCTTTATTATTTAATTGTCCAATATTGGTTTGTACCTCTAATACATTATTTCCAATTGATAACATTTGTTTTGATCTAGGATCAACTGGTTCTTCTTCCACCTCGTTGTTCTCAGTTCTTTCTACCTCATTTACTATTCCTCCATTATTATTGTTTTTTTTAGTTGATGTTGTATTTGCATATAGAGTTGCTCTATCAATATTCACATTTGAATAACCATCTGAATCATTTCTTGTATGATATACACAATTATCCTTAGAATTATTATTATTTGTGATTGGTAATTCACATAGTGAGAGTCTTTTATTTGGATCTAATTGCGTTGTAGGTGTCGTTATTACATCTACATATTCCGGTACCCTATCAAATGATGCTCGCTTATATCTTACTCCATTATCTTTTGGACCCGCGTAAAAGTTAACATAACTTTGCGGTTCTACCAAAGTTGGAAAAGGGGAAGGAATTAGTTTAAAGAAATTTATAAAAGAATAAATAATATTAAAATTTTACCAGGTATATCAGGTCCCGTTGCCCTCTCTCTGATAAATATTAATATATCTTTTTCAACGTTACAATTTTCCAATGAAATTCTGATTCTCTCACATGACTATATCGCAAAAGGAAGAGGGCAGAGCGAAATATTAATAACTTTATTCCCTGATGAAATTTTGATTAAGCTAATACACAATGTCAAACTTACTTCATCATCTGCTACACAAACGGTTGAAATAAGATTTGCATAAGTCCATAAAAAACTTTTTAATTTATCAATCCTATCTTCTTCCAAATCTTGGAATTTATCGCATGCCGTTTTCCAATCATAATTCCATGTTTTTGTCGTTATTTGTATATTTTTAACTAATTGAATATATTCTTGATCTGCTGCTTTTGCTGCCATTTGAGTTTTTTCTATCCTCAAATTTAACTATATCAGATCCCAAAAATGTTAAAACTTTTGAACTATATTAGGAGAAGAAAGTTAAGGACCCATCATTTCATCGTACCTTGTCCAAATCTTTACCCATCACGGAATTTTTACTGGCCAATAATCCTGTAATTTTCACACATTCCGCTTCGTACTTTTCTTTAGCCTAATTAAAAATTCAGAATTTTAACATTAAATACATATATATTAAACATTTCTCAGTTTATTTAAAATATTTTTTGTTTACCCTTTGAACTAATACTGATTGTTCTCTCTTGTTCCTCAAACTTCTATCTACAATGGCTTGTTGCTATATTCAAAATATAATTAAATCATATAAACAAAAAATAACTTTTCCCAATGAAAAAACACCCAACAAAAAAAATATATATATCTTACCAACTTCCTTGATTCTTTTTGTCTCAATATAAAATGTGAAATTTCTTGTACAAGTTCAGTTCGGATCTTTTGCGATAATGTGATATGTTCTTGTGCTGTTGCCTCCATCTCTTGTCTGCATACTTCTAATGCATCTCGTAGTGATCTATAATGAATAATTAATATTGTTTCGTTTTTTTTCCGAGAATTAAATCCTTAAAAAGCAAAAAAAATAAAAATAAAAAAAATCAAATACCCAGTTTCATCTTTGCCAATTGGTAACTTGGATAATTTCATTAATTTTTTTGCATATTCTTCTTCGATCAATGCTCTAATAAATCATATAGATTAAAAGCAATTCAATTCGAAAACCAAATCGCATTAATCAATTCGAAAAAAGTTACCTCTCTTGAAACATATTTTTCACTTCATCGCAAGTTTGCTTAGCTTGCCTAAGTCTAGACATAAGTGCGTCATACCCCGCTTCTTCTTTTCCCTATTATTTCCATAATATAAAAAAAAAGTTTGATTTTTTAATCGGCAATAATAGAAAGTTCATTCCGAGACAAATAAATGCCTTCAAAATGAACATTTGTATCTCTCTTACCCAAAAGTTATTTGCAAATATTTCAGGTCGTCTTTCCCCAGCTACATTACTAGACCCACTAGATGTACTTATAATAGTTTGTTCCATATTTCGTTATTGAAAACGAGAAACGTGTAAAATTTTCCGAAAAAATTATAGTACCAACTTGAGACCAAAATAACAAGAAAAAGGAATTGTTCGTGAAACCAACGATGGCTAAATAACATCATTTTTAACCAATTTAGGCTAAAGAATAATTATTGCAACATCATAAAAAAGGGAAGAGCATTAGCTGCGGAAAAAAATGTAATAATACAATTATAGAATGACAACTATTAATAGAGAGATTTTTGTTTATTACTTCCAAAATTCCATTTTGAATTCTGTTTGAACACGAATGATAATGTATATTAATTTACATATGAAGATTCATGTAACACAAGTTACGTAATACAAGTTTCGCAATACACGTAAATATTTCATTTCAATGTCTGAGCGCTAACAAAGAGATTTAAGTTACATCCTTGAAGCTATAATCTCGCTGTTTTCATAGCAAAGTGGGGAAAAAACAAATTTCAATAAGGGTTGGAAAAGGTGTGTTGCTGTTTAAGTCTTTGACTAAAGTTCATTAGCGTCCAGGTTTATATTTGTGCATATTATGTACATAAAATGCGTCAATTTCACGTGATTTATGCGGGGAGGATTCGAGTATAACAAAAGCAATTTCCATTATAATTATCACAATTATCACCCTATTAATATTTAATAAAAAAATTCTACGGCTTGTTAAATTTTCTTTTATGTTTTAATCAAAGTTTTTTAAAATATGAGAAAAGCAAAATTTTCAGTTTTAGAACGTATAAAATAGCTATAAAGATGACTTTTATGAATCGAATGATAAAATGATCTGTATTACTTGTAAATATCCCGTTAATCATACCAAAAAATACCATAGATAATCATCTCAAGTATATATCACATAAAAATAAAAAAAAGTAATATGAATACACATTTTCCTAATGAAGAAAGTCCAAAATAGTAAAAAATCAAGATATCAATTTGGTTTTGAAAAAGAATAAATTATTAAATTTTTTGAGAGAATATTGTATAGAAGGTAAAATTATTCTTTCATCCTTTTCATTATTGGTCAATGCCATCATTTCTAACAAATAACTCTCGTTAGGACTACTTTCCTTCTTATTTGATAATATATTCACATCTATTCACAACATTTGGTTAAAAAGATTTGAATCTTTACAATTATAGAAAATTCAAATAATATCAAAAATATCACTTAGGTCTCCTCTGATTTCCCTTATACATCACAAATATGTTCTAATAATCCTTCTTCGTTTTTAGCAGCTTTTACATATGGTATTCAATGATCAAATTTTAGTATAGCAGTAAGCACACCCTCCCTTCTGAACATCTAATATCTGTATACTAGTTTAGTTTAATTAAGTTTTCTTTTCTTTCTTTCTAATATATAATTCAGTTTGATAAAGTGCAGGGTTGGTATTAATAAAGTAGTTTAAACTATTTTATAAATATTTTTGTATTTTTATTTTATTTAATTTACTTATAAATTTTTAAATATTAATTAAGATTATACAAAACTATCATACTTTTTTTAAAAAAAAAATTTTTGCATATCCATTTTAGATGTAACAATATTCACTTTCAAATATAAAAGCAAATTATAATTTCATAAGTGATCTATATATAGAAGCTTTATTATTTTGATATTTAAATACTAAAATAAAATTGTTATTAATATTAAAATTTTTTTATATTAGAAATAAATTTCTTACCAAACCTAATAATAATTTATATGATTAGTAAATGTTTTTACTTTCTTACCTGATGAATTATTATTTAATTCATATTGTTTCTAATGTTAAATTTTTTTTAAATTATTATTATATTCTTCTTCTTATATAAAATTATTTTATATAATTGATCAAGTATTCCACTTCAACTAGATTTATTATTAATATTATTTGTCATTTATTACTTTGATAAAGTTAAGCTATATTTAATATGAAAAATTTAAATCTGAGATAATTACTATTAATCTAAAATAGTGATCATTAGCTTAGAAGAATTATTTTTGATTAAAATATTTTTTAATTATATAAAATATATATAGTTAATATATTTAATCAACTTGTATTTAAAATAATACCCTTTATTTTAAAAAATTTATCAATACAAAATCTTAAAAAATATTGCAATATAAATGATATATAGGAAAAAAGTAAATTTTGAATAGTTTAAAAGAAAAACTTTTATAAAATTTCAATCTAGATTAATAGTTCAAAATAAATATATAATAAAAAAATTTTATTTAAAGTTAAAAGAATATAATATAGAGTATAAATTATTATGAAAAACTACTTAAAAATATATTTCTCAATAATTTATCACTTAAAAATAAATTAAAAGTCCTTATAGATATTTTTTAAATACCTGTATTAAATGAGATAATGAAAAGCCTTAGTTTAAATTAGTGATCATCTACTTAAAAGCTTTTTCTATTTAGATATATAATATATAATATATACTATTTATTATATAATTAAATATTTTTTATTTATCAGAATTATTAAAACAGATTTTATATTTTTTAACGATAGATAAATCTTTCTATTTTACTTTATTTATTTATCAACTTTGATACAAATGCAATATCTTTTATCTATGAAAAATATATTAAGCTAAAGAAATAGAATAAAGGATTAATTCTAATTAGAAAATTTTTTAAAAATATTACGTAGGAGAAAATGAAAATTAATTAATAATTTATATCTAATTTATCTTAAAATATCATACTATTACTTAGTTTTAAAAATCAAAAATATTATATATATATTCCTAAATATAATTCATTTAAATTTTAAAAAATTAAATATTTTATTAATAAAACTTTAAAATAATAGTAAAATTATATTCAAATTTGAAGTATCTCAAAATATAGTAGCTATCAAAAAAATGCAAGTAGTCATTTTTTAGGTTTAAAGCCTATAACTTATTAATTAAAAATGCTAAAGTTATAATTTTATATATTTTTTAATCTTTAGATTTTGAAGATTATTTTATAATAGAAAATAATTTTTTATTAATCTTACATTAATACTAATTTTCAGTTATTAGTATTGCAAAAAATAGTAGCAAACTTCTAATACAGAAAATCCTAAGTATATAACAAAGGAAAGATTTCAGATATGCGATGAATTTAATTGACATAAAATTTACTGCATTATACAAATTGAGCAGATATATTAATAATCAACAATAAGAAAATACAAAAGCACTAAATAGACTCATAATACTTAATAAACTCTCTAATGATTTTTAAAATGTAAATTATTAACACATTTAGCTGATCTGTCTTTTTGACTTTAAAATACTTAAGAAATTATTATTTTTGTAATACGTACAAAGAATCTATCAACCAACTGCTACCTAATATATTATTTTCTTTAGCAGCTAAATTTTATAAAGCATTAGAGGAATTTCTATCAGAAAATGCAAAATATATTATCAAAAGTATAGGTCAAAATAGCTAGATTTCCATATTCAAGAAGAAATTATTATCAGAAATAAGTTGAAATCTTAAAACTTTAAAGACCTTTATAAATTTTAATATTTATTTTTATTTTTAGATTAAAAACAAATGCTACAGTAAATATAATAATATTATAATAAGCATTCGTCATAATGTTTGCTATCTTTAATGAATAATAGCTAAAATATATTAACAATAACACATTATCTGTCTAAATTACTAAATGGAAATTAAGTGAAAAAACTCAGACTGCTTTAAAGAACTTTTTCAATTAAGAACTACTTACAAAAATTGAATATGCTGTATAGTCAGACCTTCATATAATCACTTAATCAGTTTCACTGAAATTAGTGATTATATAGAAGTGTAACTTGTAAAAAGATAACTTCTATATAATCACCACAATATTAAAAGTTATGTGAAGTGATTATATAAAGGCTATTTTCATTTTTAAGTTAATAAAGATTAAATCAATAATAAATTTTATTGTATATTTTAAAATTATTTATTTATTAGATGATATTAGATGTTAAAATGTAATTATATTATTCAAATGTTATATAAATGCTATAAATGCTATAAATGCTATTAACAACTAATTAGTTACCAAAAAAATCTGTAATTGATGCTTGCTTTCGAGATTGTTGCTCAAGCTATTTAATTATCTTAAAATACTTTTAAAAAGATTTAAATCCTCTACACGAAATTCATCAGTATACTGCTGTTCAAAGAAGGAAATCCAAATCTTTAAAGATTTAAGAGCATTACCAGAAGATACTAAAATATTTTCTTCTTCAGAATCATCATCCTGATTACATGTTTCCTCTTGGATTAGTCTTATAATATCATCTTCACTTAAAATATCTTCAATTGGGATTTTCTCTAACTCTTGAAAAAAATTGGTTAATACATCGGCTAATGAAGTAGCAGAAGGATCATCCATATCAAGTTCTTCAATAATTTGATTGATATTGGTTATTTCTTCATTCCAATTTTCTTATTGGATTTGAAATGCATCATCTCTATCTTCATCAGATAAAGAAGACAAAATTCCAGTTTTTTTTCAACAGTTCAATACTATTTCTTTGGTCACATAACCCTATACTTCTGCAACATAGTTAATCGCTTTTTTTATATTAATTTTTTCACTATTTATATCTTTCCTATTTTCAAATAAATCTAGCATATGACGGTAATACTTTCTCTTAAAGTGGTTTTTAAAATTTGCAATGACTCTGGCATCGAGCGATTGAAGATGGCTTGTTGTATTAGAAGATAAGAAGACAACTTTAACATGAGTTAGTTGGAGCTGAGAAATGTCAGATTAATGTCCTTCCGATCTACTATGATGGCTATGATCTGATTCACCACGACTTAATTCACTATGACCTGATCTGTCACAATGGTTATGACTTCTTGATCTGCCATTATGATCACCATGACCTCTTGAAGCTTGATTTCCTATAAAAGTTATATTTAATTAGCATATTAAAAAAAAAAAGAATATGATGCAAAGAGAAAGTTGGAGAAATTGAGAAGA